AGGACCGAAGGGTAGTCAGCACCCCAGAATAGCTCGACATGGGTAGGCAGTGCCCCAGAATGGCTTGAAATGGGTAGGATGGCACCCCAGAATGGCCGTACGGGTAGTCGGCACCCCAGAATGGCCGTACCGGGTAGCTCGGGCACCCCAGAATTGTCCGGCAGTATGTATGCTATGTGATTGTATGGTATGTGGTATGATGGGGGAACTCACTAAGCTTTGTGCTTACGATTTACAGTTTTGGTTTCAGGTACTCGTTTTCAAAGGAAAGGAGCCGGCTTGATCGCAGCGCATCACACTATGGTTTTCCGCACATGAGATCTTGGGATTACACTCTGATATTGTTTTATGATAACATGTTTGATTATTTCTACTTTGGTTTTGACATGACATAATATTACGGATGTTTTATTACACTGTTGGTTTTAAAATAAAGTAATTAAAAATGAAATTTTTGGCCTGTATTTTTGGGATGTTACAAGTTGGTATCAGAGCCTTGGTTTGAGGGATTCGGATATGCTCTCGGGTGTGTTTGAACTCAAACTAAGGGCTTGGTATGAAAATTTTGAAAAGTAAAACCATTTTATAAAAAGGAGTTTGAAAAGAATCTGAAACGAGAAAGGAACTTTAAGAAGAACAAAGTGTGTGATGCGTGCAATCAGTCGAGCTCAAGTAAGTTTTCCCAAGATACCCATACATGAGATGTTATGATATGATATGATTATGAGAACTGCATGCTAGATTAGGGCTAAGGATCTAGGAGGATGCCTTATATGCCTATTATTTGTGCTTGTAGACTTGCATGCTAGTACTGATTAGTCGGTGAAAGGATAGCCTGTTTAGGTTATGCCTGATTGTATGAGCCTTTTAATTGCTTGTACAGATTCCTGATTAGAGGATAAAATGATTTGATTGGAATATGATGGTTAGATTTTCCGTTGTCTGAATGCTGCTTGCTTTGTGCTTTATGGGACTCTTAGTAATGTGAGTTAGCTATTAAGTAAATATGCTAAGTCACATGTGGCACAGGTTGGATAATCTCAGAGTGATAGATTTGACCCTATTGTACAACTCTCGTTTGAGTCTAATCGTTATAGGGATGAGTTAGTTACTTGAAGGATTATCTGATCTCTGCTGCATGTGACTATATTCATGAGGTCGCTAGTTGACATTACTGGGAATCTTTCAACAGCTGAGGACTAGGTGAGTTCAGGAACCTAGGGAAACGTAGGATAAATTTCAGTGAGTTAGTAGTGAGGCTTAGTTAGACTTGGGTTTACCAGTTGAGGAAGTGACTTGGAGGATCCAGGAGGATTACTGAGGAAAGTATGGATAGGTGTGGAAGGTAGTATGGGGCCTGTACTACTGAAAGCACAGGATCCATACTCGAATCAGTGAAAGTCTTGGAGAATATAAGAAGTTTCAGGGAAGAGTTTGTGACCCAGTTTGGGGATAGAGGATATTCTAGTTGCTGCAGCTTAGCCATTGGCAAGTGATTTCGTGAGTGTGGTAGGGTGTCAGACCCCGAGGGATATGATTTCCATGAAGTTGCAGATGCGTGATCAATTTGGAGCACTTTGAGAAGAGAGGTTCGTGCTAGGTGCATGTAGTAGGGGTCTCGGGAAGAGACCCATGATTTATGATCATCAGGTGAAAGGCCAGCAGGGCCGGAGTCGGTGCAGCACGTACATGACAGTGCACCAGGGAGTTTGTCCCTTTGAGGGTTTAGGCTACTTCAGGGTAGCGGGGTTGGTCAAGTCAGCAGAAGGTGATTAGCATTCCTCCAGGTGTTGCGGGTATGTCATCTTCTATTGCTATTAGATGGATGGCGGGGATACGTATCGCGTTAGAGTTATGAGTAAGTTAGGATAAGTTAGATATCGGGTCAGTTTTTCTGCTAGTGTTTGGGTTACCAAGGATCATATATGCCAACCTACATGCCGAAAGGTCCTTGATGAACCCAAAAAGGGATGCATCTTGCGGAGTGGGTTTCATGTATACCGTTATCATTTCGGGTGTTTGTCGGGATCTATGCAGGAGTATTATTTAGAGAATACTCTATCAGGGTTGGAGTAATTGTTCTCCAAGGAAGTCAACGTTCAGGGATTCTATCATTGTTCAGGTATGGTCGGTAATTGTCTATGGATGAACATTGGAGTTCAAGGCACTATCTTTGCTAGGACAGAGCAGGTGACATGAAAAGGGTAGTGTCAGTCGCGGGTGTTAGATGCATAACTGGTTGGTCATCGCATGATCAAGATAATTGTATTCTCGCATGGGCTATGTTCGGTTAGAGTTCAGTGGTGATGCGAGATTGGAATTGGGGATAAGGATTCGTCAGCCAGAGTGAAGATTAAGGTCTTCAATTGACAGCATGGGAGATGGATTGAGGCGTTAGATTGGACCAGATTTCAAGAGTACTCCTCAAGATTTCAGAGGATGGGTGATCTTAAGGTTTGATTGGTGATGGATCGCTAGCACTGGTAAGTACAGGTTGTCATCAAGGGGATACTAGGAAGCGAGAAGGATTGGAAATCCTTCAATTCTTGCGTGCAGTAAATACTTAGTCGAATCTAAGTGGGGGAGAGACTTTTTATAAAGTTCTCCAAATGTGAGTTCTGGTTGCGTGGGGTGCAATCTCTTGGCCACCTTGTCAACCAGAAGGGTATTCTAGTTGATCCGGCCAAGATAGAGGTCGTGATGCAGTGGGAGATTCCGAGGTCTCCATCTGAGATTCGGAGTCCACTGGGTCTAGCAGGTTACTACCGGAGATTTACATGGGACTTCTCCGAGATTATGGTTCCTTTGACCCGAATGACCAAGAAGTCGGTGGCCTTTCATTGAGAGTTTGAGAAGCAGGCAACCTTCGATACTCTCAGACAGCAGTTGTACACAACACTGATTCTCACCCTGCAAGAGGATGTAGATGATTTCATGGTTTACTGTGACGCTTTGATCACGGTCATGGGTGCGGTACTGATACAATGGGGTCAGGTGATAGCAGGTTTAGGGAAACAGGTTAGAGTTCCGGTTAGGACTCAAGTTCAGTGGTATGTTAGGTCAAGTGCGTATTCGAACCGGTTTGGAAAGTGTTGTAAGACTACAGGGGTAGCCGTAGCATTCACTAGCAGTCAGATAGTATGGAAAGTGTTGTAAGACTACGGGGGTAGCCATATCATTCACTAGCGATCAGATATTATGGGAATTGTTGTAAGACTACGGGTGTAGCTGTAGCATTCACTAGCGATTAGATAGTGATAGAGTGTTGTGAGACTGCGGGTGTAGCCGCAGCATTCACTAGGTTAGTAGATAGTGTGAGCGCGTTGTTAGGACGCAGAAGGAACAGTAGTACCCACTAGTTCGGGTGTAGCAGTAACGATAAGGAAATCCACGGATTGGATTTCGGAATTACCCAGATGGATTAGATCTGGTAGAGCCAGTGATAGGACTGTAGGAGCACCACTACAGTTATGGGATCAGGAAAGCAATGGATTGTATAAGATTATGTGTGAGATAAGGCTACCATTGATCAGGTAGCAACCACTTCTAGCCTTGGATTTGATGATGATAGGATTTGAGGTATGGATCCGATCAGTTAGATCAGAAAGTTGTTAGAGTTACAGCGGCATGATAACTAATGGCAACTAGTTCCCGAGAAGGATTTCGTTCAGGAGTTGTGTGAGACGATTATGTGGGGAGCCCTTTTAGCTCGGCGATCGGGCTAGAACCCGGTAAATTCAGATGACTAACGAATGAATTGAGACCGGGAAGGTCCCGATAGATCATGGGAAGTAGCTATGTAGCAGCATACTGCTTCTGGCAGTTCAGTGTTCAAGCAGTTTTAGCATTGGGAAGTGTTAGCATTTGTGTTTCAGGTTGTGAGTATGGATGGAATAGCTAGATGATTTGAGGAGTGACAAGTCACTCACAACGAGAGTATCCGAGCCCTGGCTAAGTATTAGCGGTCTGCAAGGATAATTGGGTCTGCGATCATGTTTTATGGTGGAAACCTCAAACTATCAAATGTTGTGTAGATAATTGAGGGATAAGAGAATGGATTTGGCGATAATGATTCAGTAAGAGTGGTCTGTCAAGGATCCAGGCCACCTCGAGACAACAAAATTCAGATGAGTAGAGGTGATCTTGTTGCGAGGAATTAGTTCACTTGCAGATTTTAGGGCTTTACGAGGATTGGTCATGGCTAACCTGGGGAGGCTAAGGTGTGCCCAGGATGGTGACCATGTTACTAGAAGTTGTTGGGTGTGTAAAGAATGGTAAGAAATGATTTCGAGGACGAAATCTAATTTAAGTGGGGGAGAGTTGTAACACCCAGTTTATTTGTTAAATAAATCAATAAATTGATGAATGTATAGTAGCCCCAATACCAATAATTATAAGCAGGGTGTTGGTTTCGAGGAGTTAATTTGCATAATTTGGAAGTTGAGGGTTAAAAGTGTAATTTTCGGACTTAGTTTATAATTATTTATGAAGGCAGGGGCTCCGTGGTAATTATTTGAATTTAATTTAAAAGGAAATGAGGTGGAAGGGCTGATTATGTCATAATTAAGATATTGGGGGTTGTTGGATAGTTTATGGGACTTAATTTGTATGGGATTTCCATGGATTGGGTTAAAAAGGTAAGTTTTGGATTTAAATTGAAAAGTCTTGGGGGAGGAGGGGCTGAACTCGTAAAAATGAAAGTAGTTGTATTGGTTACGTGATTATAAACTTGTCCCCTTATTTCTCCATGAGAACCCTAACCCTAACACAAGAACACAACCACCACCTTCCTTGCGTAGCCGGCACTCCCATCGGCTCTTCCTGTTCCGATCAACCAAAGACCATCGAGACCATTGCTTCCGATGACGCTGTGAGTGGCTTGGAGGGCCAACGAGACTGAAGATGTTTCCCCGACGAGTGCCGACGAACCTGAGGCACGCTAAAGAATCGATCGACTGCCTCCACCGTTCTCATTCTTCTTCTCCTTCTTCAACCGCCGCATGGACCGACTGGTGCCGCCATCGGTGGAGCCGCAACATCAGTCGATGACAAGGATGCGAGCCGCCAACTGCCATTGTTACCTTGTTGCTGCCACCGCTGGGGAGCTAGAGCGTGGTTACCGCTTTTGTTCGATCATTGGCCGCTACTGCCACCTTCGTGGGTCTCTGTCGTTCGTTGAATACCACCATGTTGGTGGCTGCTTTCGGGGTCCGAGCAAAATGCATAGGGGTCGCTACCCTAGTCCGCCGCTGCTAGCCACCGGAGAAGGTGGTTGTGCGTGTTTTGGTGTGTGTGGTTTATTGCTGTAGTAGAGTGGGTGTTGTGTGGATGTTGGTTAGTCGAAAACTATGAAGATAACCACCATGGCCGCCGGCCATGGTGGTACCGCCATGCGCTGCCACCAGCCACCATTAGGTGGTTGTGTGTGTGTGTGTTAGTATTAGTGTGAGTGTGTGTTATTTTGAGATTTTGCATTGTAACTGTAATAGTGGCGAAATAATGAAAAGGAAGAATCAAACCACCACCGTATGGTGGTGGCTGCCGCCACCGGCCACCGTGTCGGGTGGCGGTGTGCTTAGTTGCGTTGGGATTGCTGGTTTGGGATGTTTGGACATGGGACTAAAACCCTAATGGGCCCAATGAGGCTTAATGGACATAAAAGCCCAAACATGTGATCAATGGGCTTAAGGAAACCCTAATGGGTCTAATGGACCCTAATTGACCCAAAGAGACCTTAATAGGCCCAATAAAGCCATAAATGACCTTAAAGACCAACAAAATGATAAATTGTCTAATATTTGGATTGGAACACCCTAATGCCAATGAAAACTTAACTTTAAGAATTAATGGGGTCACACACACAAGAATTATTTAATAACTTCAGATATTAAATAATAATCATTGGTAAAGATTAATCTAAGCAATATTGGACTTAATGGATTAAGTCCTTAATGGGTTAAGTAGGAAACTTAACCCTAATCATCATTTTATGTGAAACCCTAATTTCACTCGGGTTTATTGTTAGGCCTTTCTATTAGGCCTTAATGATTGGATTATTAATGGGCCATCCAAGAATAATTATATAGGCTAAAATAATTTAATGGGCCTAGGGTAAGTCCCATGTAAGGGGTTGGGCCCAATTTGGAAAATTGGGCCATAGATGGACCATAGTTGGGCCTTAATGATTGTATTATGTTGGGTCATAAGACCACATATAGGCCTAGGTCCAATTTGGAAAATTGGGCCATATGCTGGGCTTTGATTCCTAGTTCGCTTTGGGCCTAGTTTGGGCCTTGGGCTTGAATAAAGCCAATCTTAAGGTAATGTAGAAATTATCCAAGTATGTATTTATGGTTATGTGTTGGGACGCAATTATTAATGGGGTGTTATTTTGGTGTTTACAGTTCGGGAATCTATCATCCAGCAGCTGGGGTTGAGTCTGCAGGACTTCAGCAATGTGGAGTTATGTCTACGGGACTTCAGCAGTGTGAGGTGAGTTGCCTTCCAGTAGCGGTGGGTCTAAGGCTACAATGTCGGCCCACCAATAGGAGATGTATCATAGATGATTGTCTTTGTGATATCATCTAGGTTTGCTACTACTTGATATGTTATATACTAGCATGATATGTTGTATGTGATAGTAGTAGAGTTCGATTGTTAGGACCGAAGGGTAGTCAGACACCCCAGATATGTCTGATATTGTGTTTGTGTTATGATATATGTGATGGTAGTAGTAGGGGTGAAATAGTCCCCGAGGTTCGGTTGTTAGGACCGAAGGGTAGTCAGCACCCGAGAATAGCTCGACATGGGTAGGTCAGCGCCCCAGAATGGATTGAAATGGGTAGGATGGCACCCCATAATGGCCGCACGGGTAGTCGGCACCCCAGAATGGCCGTACCGGGTAGCTCGGGCACCCTAGAATTGCCCGGCAGTATATATGTTATGTGATTGTATGGTATGTGGTATGATGGGGGAACTCACTAAGCTTTGTGCTTACGGTTTACAGTTTTCGTTTCAGGTACTCGTTTTCAAAGGAAAGGAGTCGGCTTGATCGCAGCGCATCACACTATGGTTTTCCGCACATGAGATCTTGGGATTACACTTTGATATTGTTTTATGATAACATGTTTGATTATTTCTACTTTGGTTTTGACATGACATAATATTACGGATGTTTTATTACACTGTTGGTTTTAAAATGACGTAATTAAAAATGAAATTTTTGGCCTGTATTTTTGGGATGTTACATATATCAATCAAATAACATTATTATTCCTTTAATATATAACTCTCATAATATATTAACAATAATATCTCTTCTCTCTTTACAAATCATCATGTCAAGTTGCTATGGTGAAGGCAACCCAAAAGGACCATGCACAACCGGGTCAAGCCCATTGATTCGAGATCTGGGAGTCAGAAGGGTCGCACTTGTGGAAAGAGCCATGATGGGGTGTGCAGAGCGGGGTCTTGCTATAAATGTAGCAAGGAGGGGCATATGGCCAAGGATTTCCCCAAGGGGTTTTTAGTATGCTTTCAGTGCAACCAGACCAGACACCGGAAGGCAGAGTATCCACAGTTGCGAGGGACATCTCACGGAGCATCTCAGGGATCTTCCCATGTTGCAGTGAGAGCTACAAACAGTCGACCAGTGAAGGTCGAGGCACCGAAGGCACGAGGGAGAGCGTTCCAGTTGACTGCGGAAGAGGTCCACGCAGTGCCCGATGTTGTGGATGGTATGTATTCTTTCATGTATTTACTTTTATGTTGAGATATTGTGCTTATATTATGATATGCATAGGTACTTTTCTTGTGAGTTCTGTACCCGCCTTGGTGTTATTTGACTCGGGTGCGAGCCGGTATTTTGTCTCTTTGGCTTTTAGTTAGCACATCAGTATTAGTCGAGAGGTGTTGAGTCGACCCCTGAGAGTTGCCATAGTTGACGAGAGAGCGGTGAATGCCACCGAGGTGATCTGAGGGTGTGTACTCGAGATTTTTGGCGTTGAGTTTCCGATTGATTTAGTTCCTATTGTGATGGGGAGATGTCTGTGTCATCGTGGGCATGGGCTGGTTGAGAATTTGGAGCGGTTATCGACTGCGAGAGACAGCTGGTGACCATACGAGACCCTAGTGGGGGGATTTCATATGGTGTACGGCGAGGAACACGTTCTAGGTCGGCATTTTGTTCAACTGCTAGAGCGAGACAGAGTTTACAGCAGGGTTGTAAGGGATTTGTAGCGTATGTGATGGATACGAGGGTTGATTCAGAGAGACCGAGGTTAGTTGATGAGGTTCCGATAGTGCGTGAGTTCCCGGATGTATTTCCGGAGGAGTTACTAGGTGTGCCTCCTGAGAGGCAGGTTGACTTCAGTATCGATTTGGTTCTGAAGGCTGCACCTATCGCCAATGTGCCCTATCCCCTTGTGCCTCCAGAGATGCAGGAGTTATCCTCACAGCTTCAGGAGCTGCTGGGGAAGGGGTTTATTGGGCCGAGCAGTTTGCTGTGGGGAGCACCTATCCTTTTTGTTACGAAAAAGGATGGCTCACACCGAATGTGCATTGATTACAGGGAATTGAAAAAGCTGACGGTCAAGAACCATTATCCATTGACGAGGATCGATGATTTGTTCGATCAGTTATAGGGAGCATCTTGGTTCTCCAAGATCGATTTGAGGTCTGGATATCATCAGGTGAGGGTGAGAGATGAAGATATCTAGAAGACAGTGTTCAGGACTCGTTACGGGCATTACGAGTTCGTGGTGATGCCTTTCGGGCTCACCAATGCACCGACAGTGTTTCATGGATCTCATGAACAGGGTGTGCAGGCTGATGTTGGATCACTCGGTAATTGTGTTCATCGACAACATATTGGTGTATTCGAGATCCAGAGAGTAGCATGAGGAACATTTGAGAGAGATCCTCAGAGTTTTGAGATTAGAGAGGCTCTATGCCAAATCCTCCATGTGTGATTTCTTGTTGTGAGAGGTCTAGTTCCTTGGGCACCTCGTTAACCAGAAAGGGATATTGGCCGATCCGGCCAAGATCGAGGCAGTGATGAGTTGGCTGGTTATTATAGGAGATTTATCAGGGATTTCTCCAAGATCATCGTGCCCCTCACCAAGTTGACCCGGAAGGGTGTTGCTTTTTCGTGGGGCCCAGAGCAGCAGGCCTCTTTCGAGACACTTCGCCAGAGACTAAGCGAAACCCCGATGTTAGCCCTTCCGGAGGGGATGGAGGACTTTGTAGTGTATTGTGACGTGTCGATATCCGGGCTGGGAGTGGTGCTGATGCAGAGGGGGCATGTGATAGCATACGCATCGAGGTAGCTGAAGCCTCATGAGATGAGGTAACCCACCGATGATCTGTAGTTAGGGGCAGTGGTGTTAGCCCTCAAGATCTGGCGTCACTATCTGTATGGGGTTCAATGTACCATATACACGGACCACAAGAGCCTAAACTATTTAATGGATCAGCCCAATCTGAACATGCGACAGAGGATATGGTTGGATGTGGTGAAGGATTACGATTGTGAGATCCTGTACCACCCAGGCAAGGCTAACGTTGTAGCCGGTGCCCTGAGTCGTAGGGCGGAGGGCGCCCCGAAACAGGATGTTTGTATGAGGCTGACAGTGATGACCCCAGTATTTGATGTCATTCGAGTGGCCCAGGCTGAGGCCGTGAGACCAGAGAACCGTAAGACGGAGGGGGTTATCGGGCAGGTATCAGAGTTCGTCACCGATAGCCGAGGGCTTATGACATTTTAGGGATGGATTTAGGTGCTGTTTTATGGATGGAAGGCGCACCATCTTGATGTAGGAGGTGCATAGATCGATGTTTTCGATCCATCCTAGGGCCACTAAGATGTATATGGACCTGAAGAAAGAGTATTGGTGGCCCTGTATGAAGAGGGATGTTGCATGGTTCGTTGAGAGGTGCTTAACTTGTCGCAGGGTTAAGGCTGAGCACCAGCATCCACATGGTAAGCTGCAGCCGTTAGAGATTCCCGAGTGGAAATGGGAACAGAGTACCATGGATTTCATCACCAAATTGTCGAGGACTGCGAGGGGGTGTGGATGAATTTGGGTGATTGTGGATAGGTTGACGAAGAGCGCTCACTTCCTTGCTATTAGCGAGAGCTCTTCTGCGGAGAGGTTGGTAGAGTTTTACGTGAGAGAAGTGGTATCACGGCATGGAGTACCGGTCTTGATTATTTTAGATCAAGATGTGTGTTTCACTTCCAGGTTCTAGAAGAAGTTTCATGAGGAATTGGGTACGAGGTTGCATTTTAGTACTGCATACCACCCACACACTGATAGGCAGAGCAAGCGGACGATGCAGACGCTCGGGGACATGCTTCGGGCATGTGTATTGGACTTCGGAGGAAGTTGGGACATGTACTTTCCTATGGCTGAGTTTTGCTATAACAACAGCCATTATTCGAGCATCGGTATGCCACCCTTTGAGTTATTGTATGGGAGGAGGTGTCGGAGCCCCATTTGCTGGGGAGAGGTAGGGCAACGTATGATAGGTAATACCGAGATTATGCTTCAGACGACCGAGTAGATTCAGTAGGTCAAACAGAGGTTACTGACGGCCCAGAGCCGTCAGAAGAGTTATGCAGATAGACGACG